ACTAAGGAAAGCATGAACTATGTAGCTTCCCTGTTGGGCGCTGTAATGCTGCTACACTTTATCTTACACGGGATACTGTATAAGGGGGGTGCCCAATAAACTAGCCCCGCGCTGGTGCAGGGGACTCGCTTAATGACAGTAAATATCATTACACCAAGCGTAGGTTAAGTGAGAGGCTTTCACATCTAGTAAATATATGGAAAAACCTCATTCTCACATCGACAACGATGTTGGACCAAGCACAGACTGATACCTTATCTTGTGTATTCTGTGATGGGAAGAGTATCAGTGGTAAACAAGATAGACTCCCCCCAGGAAGCTACGGAGAGAACAATGCAGCAATACAAGCAACTCTTATATTCTCTAGGGTCCTAAACCTTCCCACGGGTGCTAACCTCCCAAACAGTAGTAAATACAGTACTACGACTTTACTTTGTTGTCTCCATAAACCTCTTCAACATTTAACAATATTAATAGTATATTATTATAATAATATCCAAGCTCATGAAGATAGGATAGATAGAACAGGGATACGTTGCTTGGTGGAGCTGGGTGGGTCGCTATAAATACCGACCACCATCGCCCAGGGAGACGTTCCCAGCCCGGGCCACAGAGTGCGCCAACTTGCTGTTTGTTCACGCTGCCTGCACCACCGCTCACCAATATCCACAAAAAATACGACCACAACGATGCATTTAGTTTTACCCAATTCTTAACAGTAATTCAAAGAGTAGGCTCAAGTATAGTTATGAGTAAGTGTGTTAGTTTTTGAGTAAACCTGATGCCAGGTTTAAGTCACAATGACTAGCGCAGTGCAGAGCTGTTTGAATGGACGAAGCGGGAGTCAAACCTGTTAACTTCTGGTCATCCTGTAGAGTTGCAGAGCGAATACTTGGGGATCACATGAACATTGACCCTCACAGCTTATTTCAGCAAATGACCTAACGCTACCTGGCGTGGGTTAGGTTAGGTCGTCATTTTGGTTAATCGTCTGGTGAAAAAAAAATGGAGATAATCTTCAGCCATTTGACGAGTAACTTATGAAAGAGTCACCATCTCAGAATTGGTCACTGTGTGTGTTAAACTGCGCTTAAAATTCTTCCCTCGTTCGATAAGGACCTGCGTGAAAGGCGAGAGAGAGCATTACAACATACAGGCCCACAAAACTGACACGTTGTCCTTAGTGATGAACAGTGTATAAAAGTGATAACAGAGGACGCCAACCCAGGGTTAGGTTAGTTCAGGTGTGGAACTAAACCCACCTAACCACAGCTTATATTAGTAACATTACCTTCCTATATCTAACCCAACCCAACGATAACCTGAGCTGCTTAACCTAAACTAAACTAACCAAACCTAACCCACCCCAAAAGTAGCCATAGGACGTAAAACTTCAGACGGTGGTATGTTGTCCTGCATTGAAGAAGAGCCTAGTCCGAATTTGTTCATATGGACTGGCTACCACAGACCCACAAACACACAATTATACAGACACGTGCAATACACACTCTCAAAGGCTTGTACTCACTCACAAACACATATTAAATCTCAAACACATACTCACTCTGTCTTTAACACATACTCTCAAACATAACACAGTTTAAAATAAATACATGCACACTAAAACACAGCTACATACACACACCCAAACGCAAACAAATGCACACTCAAACACAGCCACATGCACACACTCAAACAACCACTTGCACGAAAATACACAGACACATTAGGGCCGGGGCTGGTGTCTACATCTCCCGTCCTGATGCCCCTGAGCCTATCAAACTGTCTCTCAGAGTTTCTGACGGGGCATCCTCCACTCAGGCTGAACTAATAGCCCTCCTTGCTGCCCTTCTCGCTGAGGAAGCGGATGGTTTCTGCCCCTTGCTTGTCTGCTGCGATTCCAGGTCTGCTCTCGACGGGATCGCATTTGGATCAGGGGAAAATAAGGACCTCATCCTCCGAATACGAGGGTTAACATCCACACTTCAGGATGCAGGCCGCCCTGTGACATTCCTATGGATACCCAGTCATGTCGGTATCTTGGGGAATGAGGCAGCAGATGGCCTTGCCAAGACTGGCTGCAACAAGGCCACACCTGACTTCGTTGTTCCTCGAACACTTTTACAGATTAGGACCCAAATTCGCCTACGGGAAAGGGTCGTGGAAAGGGGACGTGATTGCTGCCCGTATCATCATTGGGTATGACTTTGCTTGGGAGATTGGTATCCCCGCATCCCCTGAGCGACGCTCTTGTGCATTATGCAGAAGACCCGACAGCAGCACCCTTATCCACTACCTCCTAAGATGTCCCCACACAATTTCAGTGACAACACTAGGATCCCGCTTCCTCTATCAAGGAATAAACAATTGAAATTGAAATTGGCACATGCACACATACAACACATGCTTCCCGACACATATACATATTCAAAACATCACAAGCATGCATTCTCGCACACTTACACATGCAATCGTAAAAACGAACATAGAAATGTATATACAATATATACACACAAATACAAATTAAAAAGCATCCCCACCAAGAGTTTGAGAACTATATAGGCCTAACCTTTAGTTGCAACTGGTCACTAAAAACTGTCAAACTTTTCCCAATTCTGCAGCACGCGGAGACAACGATACTCTATCTGCCTTTTCCAAACTTAGTGCTCTTTTCCTCTCTCCTCTGGACACCGACTTTTCATTCTACGCATTGAAAAAAAAATTGTGAAGACATAATGAAAAATATACTACCATTAATTATACAATATCACTCTAATTTTGCTGTGTGTGTGTGTCCTGCTTTAGTAATACTGTACATTAGCCAAATGGGTAAAATTTTACTTTCGGACAAAACGGGAATCTTAGGAATTTTATCTTTGCAATCAATAGTTTATATTATTGTAAGACACTTTTCTTCTTTAACGTTTCCCTCGCAAACGACCAAACTAACCTCCTAATTGGGTGGTCCGACTCCCCCCAGCATATATAAGTTATTTGCTTGGGAAACGGTATAGAAGAAAAATGTCTTACAATTACCTAATACCGCCACCTGGGCCCACTGTTTATCATTGCTTGTATTCCTTCACTGCCAATACACATGAAATAAAATGAAGTTGTATGACGATTTTATCAACTAAATATTGTTGGTGGTACAGCGGTAACGGGCATAACTAGCACTAATATGTCAAGGGTTCGAGCCTCGGCCAGGACACAAGTGAGAAGGGTGTTATCTAGTGTGACCCTCCCAAACACCACACACTTCCTGGTCCCTGTACTTACACTGGATAGACCGACCAAACGGCTAGTAAGCACTGATCAGGACTTTGTTTTTGTTACGTTTATTTATTCAGATTTTACTGATTTGTAATTTTTCTATTAACCTAATAATAAACGTCACGTCGCAAAGCACACCACCAATTCCTTTGTAATGTTTAATTATTTTCACTGTATCATATGAACAGTCGTACTTCGATGATTCACTCAAATGTTTTGATTGACATTATTCCATGATTACATTCGTCTTTTAAGTAAGAATAATTTTTAAAGTTATACATTTATCTTACCTTCTGTTCCCTTCAGGTCCTTCCAAGCGAACTCGAAGAGATCAGTACTCTCCAATAATTCCTTTAGATTCATTCCCGCATATAATGGGTTTTCAATCACTTTGTTATTTCCACTCATGGTAGTTCAAAATACCGAAGGCACGCAAAATACACTTACTCAAGAAGACTCAGAATCAGACTAGTCTGTTTGCAAACTGGGGACCACTATCGGTGAGGAAAACGTACACGTAAAGGCGTTCAGTAGTCTTCTAAAACAAATCTCGAGCTGTCTACACCTTCCTCGATTGCTCAACACGCAGACTGCGATAGTCACTTGTTCACCCCGCAGGATCTTCATTCCTCTATAATTGTGTTCACAGTTAGCCTATTTTCTTATATATTATTTACCAGTTGTTTACGTATTTTTAATCATTACTACAGCTATTAATCATTAAATTTAATAACTTTTATAAGTTGGTTGACCACATAATATTGCAAACACTCCCTGAGGAAAGAATTGCAATAAGGAAGACAAGTATACCCAATGTGGCATCACTCCCCTGCTTACATAAGCAACATTAGGAAGTTATATAATATATATGAGTAAATTTAAGGCATATTTCATGTACATTATGATAACATATCATAAATATTATTATAGTTATACTGAAGAGAGTATTATAAGCAGAGATCTTGAATAACAGAATGTTTTCAATGAACCCTAAACTCGTACGTCTGGCATGAGGTATGGCAGAGAAGGCGAGTCATGTAACACAGTGCTCTAGCCGTACCCAACTGGGCTGCAAAATTACTTTACGGATTTGTGCTTTTACACAAATATCTTAGAAATTTACTAGATTAAAATTTCTTTGGCTAATGGAAATAAGATGAGAAAAATTACCATAAAAAGAATGTGTTCCACAGGATACCGAATGTGAAACATACAGTATGTATACATTGTAGCCTACACATTATGCAGTAAAAAAAAAAACAAAAAAAAAACACCTTGAATACCCAGCTCACACACATTATACAATACGAATAAAATTTGGTTTAATAGTTGAACAGCAATAACATTATAACGTCAAAATAACAAAATGTATGCCTCCTTTTCTTTAATTAATCCTGTCTAGGTTATTTTGTTTACCTTTATTGCTTTAGCTAATTACTCCTAAAACCCTTTATTATCAGTATGATCTGACCAGTTTATCATTCTCCTGCCTTATTTCTCTCTTCTGTTCATCCCTCGCTTATTTGTTCACCCTTCATCTCTTCTGATCATCCTTTGTTCTGTCTTCTTTTTTATCCTTGTTCATATACTTTTACCTTTATCCTCTTCACCACTGATCGGCTCGTTTGCAGCTTGGGCGATCGGTCACGTCTCTGTCACACACTGTTGGCAAGTACTGGGCATGCACCGGCTCCTGAATGTACCTGAACCTGCTCCAGTGTTGGTCAAGTCTGGTCTTGATAGAGCTCACACTCGGTGCCGCCACAACACTCTCTGGCAGATTGTTCCAAGAATTCACAACTCTTACTCTGAAAAAGTTATCCTTCACAGTTTCCTGGACTTATGGCTTCTTCAACCTTGAGCTGTGACCCCTTGTGGGGCGAGCGTCCGCCAGCTCCAAGTAAGGGCACTCGGCTGAGTTGTGCCCCCTGAGATGCTTATACACCTCAATTAGGTCCCCCCCCCCCCTTGCCCGTCTGTAGTATAAGCTAGGCAATGGTAGGCGCTCTAATCTCTCAGGGTAAGTGAGGTACCGAAGTGCTGGCACCTTCTTGTGTTTGTTATTTTACTTCTATTGATCATCCTTCTTCTCTTCTTTCCATTACAATCCATATATTATTTTCATCTGTTCATCCTGTGTCTTCATTTTAGTTCAATCCTCTACACCTGTTGATCCTTCTGCTCTTCTTTCATCATTTCTCTTTTTCGTAGGAGACAACTGACCAACTTTCCAGTAACCCTGAATGAGATTTTGCTTGAACTAAATACTTTACAGTGCACTATGGAGTTTCCCTCCTCTAGGCAAAGAAACGTTGAATATGGAACAATGTACAGTACGTACCATCTTCGGCTGCGCAGGACAACACAAAGTATACTATATGGGTTTTCTGGCATTGTAAAAATGTAATGTTCTTCACTACTGTTGGCCATATAGACAGATATTATTGTCTTTGGTGTTTTAAAGAAAATATTATTATTGTATACATGGGTGTGATAATGAATACAACCGCTGAATAATTTCACAAGTAAAATTTATTGTAATAACCACAAATATTTCATATATAAAATTTTTATTTTCAATGCACTTCCCTAATCAATCTATGTGGAAGTTCTGTGTTCTAGGAATGATTTTGAACATAAATATGTTTATAAATTCCATAAAGGAAAATCTAGATATATTTTTGTACTGTACAGTACCTGATAATTAGCTGCTCAGATTGTGGAGGCTGGAATACTGTACAGTACTGTTCTTACTCCTGAGTCTTGTTCGTGAGTAATAAAAGATAAGTGTTTCAGTTTACCATCAGTTACTGTGATGATCATTCAGGCAACACAACTTTCAAAGCACATCTGTCTGCTGAACTTCATCAAAGGACTACAAATACATGAATTATTTTGGGGAAAAATAAGTTTCACAAGTCGGGTGCAGAAGTGGGCTGCTATTAAAGACTTATAATATGTGTACAGTACTTGAACACACCAGAACTATTATGTGAAGTGTGTGTGTGTGTGTGTGTGTGTGTGTGTGTTCTTAGTTAATTTAAAACTTGGGAAGCTAATCAAATACACTTAATGATTCAAATCTCCCAACACAGTACAGTATTACCCTGATTTACGCGGTACCCTGCCAGACCCAGAATGCTCACTTTACGCGGTGCATGTACTCTTTTACGTGTATATTTGTTTAAATTATGAGGAAAATTTGATGTGAATATTTTGTGGCAGCTGTGGTTGTAGTTGAGTTACCAATTCATTAATATAATTTTCTTCATTTGGAAACTTCTCATGACCTTAAATAACAATGAATCATTTATTATTATAAAAATTTTACCTTTGGTTTCTTTAGTAATTATCCTGACAGTGATATAGCAAAAAACAAATCCACCAATCACAATCACCTTTACATACAGCCTTCCTTTACCAAGTATTGCCAGGTAAAATTGCGAGCACGAGACCCAGGGTGGGGTCGGTGCATCTTTGGCTGACTGTACCTGAACCTGCTCCAATGTTGGTCAAGTCTTGTATTCAAAGAGCTCACACTCGGTGACGTCACAACACTTTCTGGTAGATTGTTCCAAGAGTTCACAACTCTCACTGAACTGTACTGCGCTGAACTGAACTGTAGTGTAGTGTACTGTATTGCACTGTACTGTACTATACAGCACTGTACTGTACTGTACTGTACTATACTGCACTGAACTGTACTGTACTGTACTGTACTGTACAGTACTGTACTGTACTACACTGTACTGGATACTGTACTACACTGCACTGCACTGTACTGTACTGGCCACTAAAAAATGAGAAGCTGACACTGATGGTATTATTTAGTCATTTAATTGTACAAACTATGCAAGTAATAATCTCCTGCCACCAAGAATAAATACTGAAAGTTTTCATTGAGCAACAAGTTATTAAAGAATGAAGGACTGAAATATGAAATCCTATTTTAGGACTCTGGAGAAGAGACAAAGTGACTGGCAATATTCCTCCACCTTGGCTGGGTCTGTCTTCTCTACAGAGAAATTGGCATTATAGAAATAGGGACATTCTTCTGCCACATCCAATATAAATTACTATAAAGCAGCTACTCATCATATCTAACCATGGTTTATGGCACAAGCTCCAGCCACAATCTAATGGTTGCTTCAAAAGCCAGTGGCCCCGTGGCACATCTAACATGACATCAGACAACCACTCGGATCATGAGTTAAAAACAAACACTTGCATGGCAAAGCCAACACATGATAAACAAAGTGAAGAAATAATTATTCTTGGAAAAACCACAAGAAACACGATAAAGAACAGTAGGTCAGAGGCAAGGAAAGTCTGAAGCTTTAAAATGAGAAATTAATTTTTAAAAAATTTGGAGAGAACCAGTTTCAGGTTTAATACTTGTGTACAGTATTTCCCTCGGTTAACGAACTCAATCCGTTCCAGAAGGTCGTTCGTTAACCGAAACGTTCGTTAACCGAAACCATTGTTTCAATGGGTTTTTGGGTAATTGGTTCCAGCTCACCGAAAATTTCCTAACTTCAACAAAAATGGCGGAAAAATTTACTTACTTTGAGGTGTGTATGTAGAAGGCTCCTGGATGATGGTGATGATGTGCATTTGAAGTGGGAGGTGCAGGAGGAGAAGGGAGAAGAGAAGGAAGTGGAGGTGGAGGAGAAGCATTTTACTGCTTCTTGGAAGGTGAGTCACCTTCCATGAAAATGTCAGGAACCTCTGGACTGACAGATTCTCCACCATGAACATCCTCTCTCTTTCTTGAAGTGGAAGGCTGAGGGCTAGCATCTTGTTCCCTCTGCCTTTTACTGAAGAAAGTGTCAATTGTGGTCTGTGGGGCATCTGTCCTCCTCACCATTAACTTATGTTTAAAGAAGGAGACCACTGAGTCCTCAACATGACACAAAGTTAGTTCAGTTTTTTCCACTTCTGGGTGCTTTGAAGCCAGTTCCCTGAACTTCTCCCAGTGGTAAATCACATCTTTCAACTGTTTAGCTGACATATGGTCATCACTTTCAATTTCCTCCTCACCACTGTCAGCCTCTACCCGTAACATCTCATCCAGTTCCTTCAAGTCATTAGGAGTAAGTTCCTCCTCATGAGACATCACAAGCTCTTCCACATCCTTCTCCTCCACTTCAAGACCCAATGACTGACCAATGGACACAATCTCCTGGTCCAACTCTGTGTCATCCTCAAATCCCTCAAAATCATGGACTACTGATGGCCACAGTGCTTTCCATGAAGAATTGAGGGTTCTATTGGAGACTTCTTGCCATGATGACACAATCAATTTTACAGCCTCCAGGACGTTGAATTGTGTCTTCCAGAACTGTTTCAGTGTTAGTTCAGGATCAATGGAAGTTGCCTGATGACACCTCCTAAACATTTTCTTCATGTACAACTTCTTGAAGTTGCTGATCACATTCTGGTCCATTGGCTGTATGAGTGATGTAGTGTTTGGAGGCAAAAACAACACTTTCACAAAGTCAAATTTATACTCCAAATTTCTGGCAAGGTCAGGGTCATGACCAGGAGCATTATCCATGAGGAGAAGAGCCTTTAAAGGAAGTTTATTGGTGGTTAGGTAGCTCTTGACAGAGGGGCAAAACACATCAACAGCCCATTCATTAAAGAACTGTCTTGTCACCCATGCCTTACGGTTGGACTTCCAATAAACTCCAAGCATTGTTCTTACCACTTTCTGTTGCTTGAACACCCTGGGGTTTTCAGAGTGGTAGACAAGCATAGGCTTCAGTCGGAAATCCCCTGAAGCATTGGCACCAAGCAATAGAGTGAGACGGTCTTTCATGGGTTTATGCCCAGGTAAAGAGGCTTCATCCTTGGTGATGAATGTTCTTTTGGGCATCTTTTTCCAGAACAGCCCAGTTTCGTCAACATTGAACACTTGCTGTGGAAGATAATTTTCTTCTTCCATCAGTTTTTTAAATTCAATTAAAAACTTTGCTGCCCCTTCTTTATCAGCACTAGCAGCTTCACCATGCCTAACAACACTTAAAATGTCACTTCTTTTCTTAAATTTTTCGAACCAGCCTTTGCTAGCCCGAAAATCTTCAAATTCTGTTCCTGAAGAACTAGGTTGATCTGTCTTTAAATGTTCATAAATCTCCCTGGCTCTTTCACAAATGAAATCACCAGAAACTGAATCACCTTTCATCTGTTTTTCCCTAATCCAGATGATAAGTAACCTCTCAGTTTCTACGATTAGGGATCTACTTTTAAACACTCTTGTAGATTTGTCTCTCACGTTCACTTCCTTAAATTTGTCTTTTTGTGCAAGAATTGTCGACACAGTTGATGCCGACATGCCATATTCTTTGCATAGCGCATTTGATTTAATACCTTGTTCGTGTTTTTTTATTATTTCCTGCTTCATTTGGATTGAAATCACTTTTCTTGATCTCTTAGGCCCCATGCTGGATTCAAACAATGGCAACACGTATTTTTCAAAGTTAAACTAGCTGTAAATAAAGAATATTTTCTTTAAAATAACACTGCACTGCACTATATATTGTCAATATGTAAAATAATTTTCAAAATGACCAATAATTTGCTTGGAAACACAGAAAAAAAGCGTTTAGTTGAAGAGAGTCTCAAGCAAGATGTTACCTCCAGTGAAAACAGAGAGAGACTGACGCCTGTTTGCTGTGTTAAGAGGCTGGATGCCGCGCATTAAACTAGTCACTTTACCTTCAATTTTGTTCAATAATTGTTAAAATGACTAAAAAATTGAATATTAAACTTTTAAAATAATTGAATAGTATAAACTTCTTGATATTTACAAAAATAGTAAGGAATTTAAGCCCTAGAACCGATTAATGTATTGGCGGACTGATACTAAAGCTGGTTGCCCGGTCAGTGCAAGCGAAAACATGTTGAGGTCGGTTCGTAAGAAGTTCGTTAAGCGAAATTTTTTTCGTTAAACGAATTGAAGATCCTTATGGAAGGCAGTTCGTTAATCGAAATTACGTTAACCGAGGTGTTCGTTAAACGAGGGGTCACTGTATTGTACAGTTCTCTGGCTTTTAAAATAACCATCTGGGAAGTAGCTTATCTGACAAGGCAGCATCCATACCTCTAGAATACAGATATTGTACAGTAACTGCCTGGAGAGGCTAGGCTATGCTAGGGGTGTTGTAAACAAGGAATCTAGCATATCATTTGTCATATTAACTGGCGGCCATAAAAATGACATAATGAAGACTGTACCATAGTTAACAAATTAAAACATCAGATCATAATAAAAATTTTAACTTCAGTATTTAATTTTAAAAAGTACAGTAAATTACTGTTTTAAAACACTACACTGCGCTGTACAGTGAAGTTGTTGTATATACAGTAAATCCTCGTTAACGTTGCCCCCGATAAAGTTGTTTCATTATAACGGCGCTACTCTTTAGATACCCATGATTTGGACAACGTCCCGCCGATTCAGTATAACGCTGTCACGGACTACTTTACATGGAGCACGCCTTCTCACTAGTGTCAGGAGGAGGAGCAGTCACCCTCCTCCTCTCCACTACCCACCACACCTCCGCCATCAGTGAGTACAATACAAAATGATTTAGTTTATTTATCTTTTTGGATGTATAATATATATTATTTTCTATAAAGGTTCCATTGAATTTCTGTATATGTAATGTATTTTATGGGACAAAGGGAGGCTGGGGAACGTAACTCCCGTATTTTATTTATTTCTTATGGGGAAAATTGATTTCGTTGACGTTGTTTCCGTTAACGTTGCGGTTTTCAGGAACGGAACCACGACGTTAAGCGAGGACTTACTGTACATAAGTAGCACGTATGATATGTGTACACATACTGTGTATACAGTACTGTACATATGTATATAATCTGTAAAAAGTAATTCTAAAACCAGCACCATTCATTTACTGTTTCTGTGTTTCCCTTTTATCATTCTCACTAAAATATATCTAATTTATATACCGTACATAATGTTGACTCCTCATGATCCATCTCCCATCAACTCCACAGCACATTTATAGTACAGCTGAATTTATGTTTCTTATCTATGTATCTATATGCAGCATAAATTCCTATATAGTTTACTGCATAAGTATTATATTTAGTTTAATAATTACCATACAGTAGTTAGGTACAAAATTACAGTACCTGTACTACAGTACTTAGGTAGGTTTTTGCTGTTCAATCATTGAGTTCATATTTTTTTGGTACCTGTATAATATTCGGGTTTTCTTGTCATTGGGGAACTGGACCTTATTTTTCCCATTTGTTCTGTCATTTGCTATCTGAAAATTTGATCCAAATGGTTTTCAAGGAAGCTAATCCATTCCAATATTATGGATAACTGTATACACAAGGTGATTCTCAAATACAGGCAGTAAATTGCCGGGTGTATTCTTGGGACAGTTCTAAAGCACAATGTGATACAGTTGCATTATTACAGTAAATTTTGAACAGTTACTGTAATAATGCAACTGTATAACACTGTAGAGTCATGTTGATAAAATGACACAACCACCTACAGCTGTCTCACTCTGTCCTCATTACCTCAACCTCTTTCAAGAGCAGTAGTGACCAAACTACGCAGATTCCGACATTTTGTTATATCGATATCGACATTGTACTTTAGAACTGTCCCAGGAATACACCAAGCAATTTACTGCATGTAATTGAGAATCACCTTGTGTGTATATACTGTACTACTGTATATATATAGTATTTATTTTCTTCCTATTGCACTACAAATTGTGTTCAACTCAAATCAATGAATCTTCTTTATATTCTTATTAATTTATCAGACAAACATATTTTCTTCTCTTGTAATGATTAATTTTTTCTTCATTTTCAGTTCCTTTTTGTAGATTTAAAAGCCAACATGAGAGGCATTTCTATGATACCATAAGGTTATACTCTGGTGCTTTACCAGTCATTCTGTAGGTCAGCCATAGAATCATGTAGACTCTGCCAGTCTTTTGTACTTAACATGTCAGGTGTTCCTGGAGATTGCTTTTATAATGTCAAGTGCAGTACAAGGAAACCACTATAAACACAGGCATCAAAATTTGAAGAAAATGTAAATTCTGGCAAATTTGGTCGTTGATTAAAATTACCGGTAATTAAATAATTATAAAACACAAATGCTAAATTTAAAGCACCGTTCACATTTCTGTCAATAAAGAACATTATGACGTCAAGAGCAGCTACATCCAATATTTTCTGTTGCTAGATAATTGCACTTGTTACCCTTATATACTGTACAGTATCCCTATGGTACACTCGCTGTTTCTGGGAAAAATTCTTTCAAAATGTTCTTCTTGTTAACTTTTCCCATGTTGTTTCGTGGTAGAGGATTTGTTACACTAACTATTACAGATGGAACTTGGTAGTGAGGCATTCGTTCTTGTCCCCACTTTCTCAACTCCAACGGGTCTAAATTTTCATCACCGGACACTTCAACTACAGCTGCTACCTGTTATGAAGATAGACAATACAGTACGGTATATATACGGCAATATCTCCATTAGCCGGAATCAGTCTTGACCAGAACTCTCCGATAACCAGAAATAAAATTCTCCTCAGAATTTTCCGGAATATTATGGCTTTGGGAAAGATTTTTCGAGGGGGGCATTTAATGGAAAATTCCAAGGACATTTTCCCGGTACCCGGAAAAATCCGAGGATGGGGGAATTATTTTCCCAGGTTTGATAGATGAAAATCGGGCTCATTTTCCGGAAATCCAGAGAAAAATTTCCTGTTACCCGGAAAAATTCCAAGGACGGGGGATTTTTTCCCGGGTTTGAGAGGCGTCTAGTTACCCGGAAATCCCTCATTTTTTAAATGCTCTGCATCAATTATTCCAGCTTATGGAGATATCACTTATATAATTATAATAATAATACACTAGAGTGAGTGTGGTGAAGCAACAAGGAAGAATATCTTAGGGCCTTGGTTTAGAATGAGAAAACCAGAGCAAATCACATCTAATAAAGCAGTTAAAGATGAAGTTAATGAGGAAGAGGGTCTGTGTTGCATTAGATTCAGGTCACATTGAGGCAAGGTGGGAAAAACTTGCAAAACCAAAAAAATTGTAAATAAAAATGAAGAAAAGAAACAATGATTTTTTAAGACATCTACATCAGAGATACAATACATTTATGTTTGATATGGTTGAATGATAAACAGTACAGTACAGCTAGACCCCGACTTACGAAGTTAGGGACCCAAATCCAGGTCGTAAGTCCGAATGGTCGTAAGTCCGACATAGATAAAAAAAAAACAAAAAAACAATCTACAATGAAATACAGTACAGTGAAAGTAATAAATAATGAGGAATGGATACAGTGTGACTGAGCACTTACCTTTAATGTAGTCAGCTGAATGCACATGGGGCCCCCATAATTTTCTAATTATACATGGAGACTACATTAACTGGAAACGTTTCGGTATAGAAAATGCGTGTGTCATTTTGGAAAAAAAAAAAAAAAATTGTCACAACTGCGGCGGTTGTAAGTCCTGACGGTCGTAAGTCGGGGTCTAGCTGTATATATCAGGCGCTCGGGGGAATAGTTACAAAAACGCCCAAATAATTTTTTAGAGATACGTACAGTAATTACGGTTAAAGTCGGCATAACCTAATTTCCATGTATTTCCGTAACACATTACACAATTATGATCAAACTGGTGTCAAATGATAGAAAATTTAGTCTAGTTTAAGGAAATGTCATTAAATCTTAAACTGCAATTATCCCAAAACTATTTTGACATATGTTCCTGTTCCTCCTGAGTGCCTCAGTACAATCCATCTTCTAAAATGCCTACAATAATTTTTCTTGTTGAGAAGAATAACAAAGGTCTTACTTTTTGGCCCCAGGTGATGTCTGGGATGCCTACAACAGCAACATCCACAATATTAGGGTGGGCCAGAAGGTGACGCTCTACATCAAGAGCAGAAATCTTAAAACCTCCGCTCTTTATTATGTCAACACTAGTACGTCCAAGAATCTTGTATGCTCCATCAGTGTACTGTGCTGTGTCACCTATAATGTTTAACAGGAGTAAATAATGTTAATATTAACAACTTGAATATAAATTTTTCAAGTTTCTCAAATATTGTACAATATTACTTATATATACCGAACCTTCTACTAAACTCTTCTTCAAATATTGTAAGTACTGTATTAAAATATTATACTGGTAGTACTATAATAATAATGACTTTACTTTACCTTCTTATGTAAGGGAAATCTTAGTTTTCATTCCCACAGAGAATAAATACAATGTTCTTTATTTTTTATAGTCTTATATGATATATTCTTATTTCTAAATCACATTAGAGTAACAATGTAACAATGGCAACATGTGATATTTTCTTATTTCTAAATCACATTAGAGTAACAATGTAACAATGGCAACATGTGAAGCCATCTCACAGGACACAGCGGACTGGTGATGTACCGTGTTTTGAGTTACGCACTTGTTCTGATTGACTGAAATCAAAACAAACAACAATGGCGATGCATTCTTGAAGAATTCCATTAACTTTATTTGTCCATTGTTTTTTATATTTAAGCTTAGGTCAGACTGGGACTCATTCCCTATCTCAGATATATAGAAATTAACATAAAACTATTTACCTTAACTCACACAAGATAAAATCATACAGATACTGTATGATGTTTCTGTCTTGTGTTAATAAACTATACTTTATATAATACAAAAATCCCATATTGTGACTTTTTATCTGAACTAAAAATACAGAACTTTTTCATGTTTTCTGAATAAAGTTTGGTATTGGATGAATTTGTTTTAATAATTTTATACCAAAAACCTGCCTATGCCAAGCTGTCTGGTCACCAATTATTTTGGTATAGAGAGGTAATACTGTACACCATGTGTGATATTTATCAAACTTGGAGCACATGGTCACATGCAAAATTTAAAAAAAAAATTGGAGTTCTCATTTTTTTTACACATTTGTGTTGACAACAAAACCAGTTCATCAATCAAAGAAATAATGGTAGTTGTCCTCTGCTGGAACTAATGAATAAATAAATAAGAGTGGATGCAGAGAAAGGCTATGTCAGTCAGAATGATCTATATTTTCCCCTACAGCTTAGGCATTATTAAATGACAGACAAGCACCTGTTCTTACCTGTTTTAAACCAACCGTCCTGAGTAAACTCCTTCAACGTTGCCTGAGAATTCTTCCAGTATTCCTTGAAAACATTTGGTCCACGTACTAATAACTCTCCAGACTGCAAGATAAGTTGGTCAATATCTGAACCTATATTAGACATATACTAATACCGGATATGTCTACAATGGTCGCTTTACTTAAAATTTAACTATGTACAGTCACCTACAAAACTTGGTCCCCCTGTGGTAAGATTGAGTGACAGATATGAGTCTTTGGACTAACTTGCCTTGACTGACGTCTGGTGCAAGTGTGCTATTTTATCTCCTGATGCTGCTTCAGTCTGGGAGGGAATGAACTTCTGTTTGCAACTTTACATATTGGAAACAAGAAGTTACAAACATTTTCAATTGTGCATTCAAAATTTAAAACCTAATGAAGCACCGTGACACAGCCTGAAGTACGAAAACCTGCAAGAACCGACATTGTTTACCCCATCAATCCAGTGTGACCCTCACTACGAAACATCACAGGTCTCCTCCAGGTACAGACTTCAGTTTCCTCCTGTACTGATACTGGACAATAAACTTCATAAAAAAATAACAGAACAGACCAACCGCCTGAACGGCTAGTAAGCTGATAAGTGGTGAAATGATGAATTAAAAAAATAACAATACAGTATTATCATATTAATATATACCTCTGTATCTCCTTCAGACATAACCTCAGTTCCCTGGCTATTTCCATGACACAACACCTCATATTTGTCATTGCCTGGTACAAATTTAGCAATACACACTTCAACACCTGGAAGTGGGCTCCCAACAAATCCTGGAAAATACAAACACAGTCAATCCCATTAGTTTCCATAAGTGTTTAATATTATTCTGTACTGTGCAGTATTGGGTGTTAGCAGAATAACATCAAGGTGTGAGAAAGGTCCTATTAATATTCTGTACAGCCGTATGAGCAGCTGGTACAGTGCATTCTATGGCAAGAGGCAACAATATTTTCTTATTAAAAAAAAGGGCTATAATCTAACTTGAAATTAATTATAATGTGCACTGGTTAAACCAAAGACATTTCTTCAAATCATAGATAAAAAAAAATTTGGTTAGAATATTTGAGAATACAGATAACTATACCAGTTAGAGTGCTGAGGAAGGGAGTGAGTGAAGTAGTAATGAAGGAAAGGATATAGGATGTCGTGGCTCTGAGTGAAACAAGGTTGAAGGGCAAGAAAGATATGAGCTGGGGACAGATGAAAAGAGTAAAATAAGGAATGTCTCCACCAGTGCTTCTTCCTCTTAAGGTTTCTGTACCTCTGATCCATCCCTCAAAAGAAAAGGAGTAAAAGAGGAATTGAGATAACAGGTAGATAGAGGTCATACCTGGTTTACGAGTACCCTTCAAGGGATTAGAAAGTGCCATGCCAATCTCAGTCATGCCGTAACGTTCCAGGAGAGTGTGCCCGGTGATCTGCTGCCACTGCTCAAAGATTGGCTCCGGTAAGGCAGCTGAACCACTAACCATAAGTCTGCCATAAATGATCACCAATGAGACAAAGGACAGTAGTAACTAATAAGAACAAACCATCATCATGAGGCACGATGAAATAACCTGTTGAAGTCTCGGTGTATTGGAGAATGTTAGGGGGCATTTTAGGGAAGTTTATGAGTAGATTATGCTAAAGAAGTACTGTACTGTACTGTACTGTACTGTACTACCAATGTTAATGGAGAATGTTTGAGGACTGATTAGAGATGGGGTACAGTTTTGTGGAAGAAACCTGCAGATTCACAGTAAAGGCCCAAATAATGTCTAATAAAAAGGATATCATTAAAATAAAGTCTGTCTGTAGTGAGATACGTAGATAGGTGATTTATTTTTGTTTACACTAAAAATAACAAAGATTCTCACACAGTCATGAAAATAAACTCCACCTTAAGAGACTAACCTTATATTTTGCGTACAGACAGATTTTACGTATTCCTGCATTCGAGCATTTTTTATTAATTTATTCTTGTGTTCTTCAATTAGTTTGACATACATCGTTGGCACTGCCATAAAGAGGTTGACACGTGAATGGACGGGAGTGTCAAGCGAGAGCAGCTGACTCCATACAGCAGGTGCCGAGAACTGTGGCAACATCACTACCCTGAAATATATTTACAAACTTTACAAAAGGTACATAACAAAACATCCACAATCACACCAGAATTATACATTAGAATTTTCCTGAAAGAGAAAAATCACACTGGACTTTAAAACCTTCCTTTTATATGTGTCAACCTTTCAACAGCACTGTACAGTACAGCTCCTCCCAGACTTACGACGGGGTTAGGGACTCAAATCCAGGTCGTAAGTCGAAATGGTCGTAAGTCGAAAATGCTTAAATAATACATAGAAAATCTAAAATAGGTGTCTCTTTTTCTTCTCAGCACCGCAAAACTCTCACTTTTAAGCTTCCCAGCCATTTTAAAGTAAATACAAACGAAAATTTTGTCTGTGTACTGACGTTGGGGCTTGAAAATACGTAATTTGACAAATTTTGGTACGACTGAGGCAGGTCGTAAGTCGAGTAGGTCGTAAGTCGGGGAGGAGCTGTATTTAGAAAATCTGCCATAAAATATAAAACATTAGTCTAATTATTAAGTAAATGAAGTGGATACATTTTCCACATTAGAAAAAATATTTAAAGCATATGCAGTACCGTACTGTACTGTATACTGTTCCGTCTATATAAAAAACAACAAATGGTTCCCCATTTATAACATAACACAACACTAAATAAGATACAGAGAAAGTATAACACATAAGTAATAAAAACACCACATATATACATTTTTCTAACACTTGTAACTTCTTTCTCACTACAGTACAGAAGACTGTAAATGGAACTAAGACTAATACTGACTCACATTTCACTCACTGAAACTTGTGCACCAATGTATCTTACTACAGTGCTCACCATTCACTACTTCCCTCACTCTATTTTATCCTACTTATATTTTCATCAGTTCTGTGGAATGACTAACTAGTGTTCAGGATAGTTATGATGCCATGGTACTAAAACTCCAGTATGATGTACTGATGTGATCATAATTTATTAAGACATTTTTCTGATGTGTAAAATGGTAGTCTAACAGCTGAGTAAAAACAAGAACTTTAAATAATTAAATTCAATATCAGTTGTTACATGTATCAAACTAAGATACTGTACTTAAAAAAAAAACTTGAAAAAATATGTGAATTCTCCAAATGCAACTTGTATTACCATGCCTTATTTTATACAGTAAAGTACGAGCAACTATTACCGCCACTATAAAGTCAATTCCTTAATCAAGATATATCAAGCTTAGGGTAGGCAGGTAGTCTCTGATTACCCCAGGGAGTTACAATCCGGCCTTACCAGAAGCTCCCACACTGTGTTGGCTTTAGGACGGTCATCCAGCCATAAAACTTTACTTCAAGCGTGTGCGTAATTACTGGTTCTTTCTTATCACTTTCTATACTTGTCTTACACCACTGTCCCTCACACACAAATGGATGAGAAATAAAGATAATATTATTTTTGTCAGCACTCAGAAAGAAGGATGGGTGGAGATGATAGGGTAGCACACACAGGGGAGAAAGCTGAAGGAAATACAATAAAATATAAGAGGGAAGACATCAGTCACTACTGTATAAGGGCAACGTAACCTTTGAGAACTGTGACGGGGAACCAAGTGATATTAAAGTGTAGCTAATATTAACTTCCCCCAATCCCCTAGTGTGTGTGTGTGTGTGTGTGTGAGAGAGAGAATAACAATTTACTCACATGTAATTTGTATATTCTAGTAAAGTAACATTACAACTCTTGACCACAAAATAGAATAATATGCTTGACTTATAAATTAAATCTACCATCTCAAAGTACACATGACTGCCCAAGCTAATGTAATGAAAAGCTTCTATTTACAGCATAAGCTAAGGTTTACACACAAACAGTAACACAAACACACCAACAGTAACACAACATACACCAACAGTAACAACACACACCAACAGTAACACAACACACCATACCTGGCACCAACATAGAGAGGACAAAGGAGTGCGTTAATAATGCCGTGAACGTGGTGGAGAGGGAGGCAGTGGAGGATGGCATCTCCAGAGGTCCAGCCCCAAGCTTGACGAAGGCAACTCATTTGGGATAACACATTCTTGTGACTCAGAACCACACCTGTGCAGAGACATATTAAACCTTCATCACATCTGCTCCTAAACCAAGCCCCCCCCTCCTCGTTAGTGTTCGTTATTAGGTATACTTTATAGGACATCGTTCAGCAACAGGAGATAATCATGCATAGAAATATTGCTCTGTGATTGAATGTATAAGGTATCTATATTTAACAACGCTAATTCAATTTTGTTTAACGTACTGTACCTGACACAATCATACACACAAATGTTTCAAATCTGACACCGACATACGCATAAACATTCCAAATCTGACACCAAAATATACAACATTAAATCTGACACCAACATACTGTACATACATGCAAACATTCCAAACGTGATCAAACTTATTTCTTTGATAAATTTTCATTCTTTACATCATACATTCTTATCCTCTCTCTCATCAATCCTCTTCCTTTCCTTTCTTTTCTTATCCCTACATCTTCATCTTCCACAGACCTCCTCTTAATCTTCTTACTTTCTATAATACAACACTGCTTTATTTATTATTAATTATCTTTACTTGGGAGTCACAATTATTCTTTTTACTACGTTCAACATTAATTCCCCCTCATGTTATTTTTGTTTATGAAAATCTCGTCTTTACAACTATTTACAGAGATAAAATTCCAGGGTTACCTTTGGGACGACCAGTAGTGCCACTTGTGTAGATAATTAAGGCATCACTGGCTGAGTAAAATTCGTTATCTCGGCCATACTTCAACCGAGTAGTATTATCACCTGAGGAGCTGCCTAAATCTACCAGTGGAGTATCTTGATCTTCACCAGAGGTTGATGGTTTGAAAAAGAAATCTTCTAGTACTATCACCTGAAGAAAAGAACTTTAGTTATCACGCACGCACGCACGCACGCACGCACGCACGCACGCACGCACGCACACACACACACACACACACACACACACACACACACGTCTCATAACATCACCCAGAGAAGGTGCAAACACAGATGGCAGACACTGGAATGATGATTATAGGAGGGCTAGTACAGGGGTACAAGGTCATGTGGGAATCAGTACTGTATGTCAGAAGAAAATTATATATGCTGTATTAAGCAAGAGTCAGTGTAGAATTTACTGTATATATCCCAGTGTGTCAGAAATGAAAATATATTGATGTCAATTTATATTTCTAACACTGTGATTAAGTATTTCTTGAAAGTTTAATCACATATTGATGCATAAGATAGTATGAGTACCAACATTTTGACATTTTAATGCAGTATTTGTATTATTTTTGGTAATGTATATTTTGTATGAATAAAACAAATACTTTAATTCCAGTATTTACTTCCCTCTGTCCAACACAAAATGTAGGTACTGTACTGTACTGTATGCCACAAATAAAGTATGTGTGTAAAATACTGTACAGTGCAGTTAAGTTGCTTTGATGGAGTATTTTGATGGTTATAAATCAGGTAGGAAACAATATTAATCTGACAATGCCACACACAACAGCACTGACTGTAATGTTTGCCCTGCTGTACTAAAATCAAATCACTTGCAGCCAGAAAAAGGGGAGGTCAAGTTTTGTTGTATCATAGGACAATGGTGTAATAGCATCATTTGTATTGTATAAAGATGCACCATAGATACTCTGTCCTGGGCCTGGTGGAACAGAAGGTTGGGTAGGCCACTGATACACAGGATATTAATAAAACAATGTTTACAAAAAATAACAAGAGCATATTTCAACATCTTTCTAAGAGGTTAATAATTATGTACAGTATATGTTTAATGTCAAAATCCTCAGAAATAAGATCCTCCTATCTTACCTGTTGACCAGAGAGAATGGGTTTGATCTTATTTGTTAAGTCTGATGTGGTGACAATGATGGAGGCCTCACTGTCTCGCACAAAATACTCCAGTTCTGATGATGGATGTTTAGGGCAGAGAGGCACAGCTGAGGAGTTAAGAGTTTATATATCTTAATCATTACTGTGTATTACCTGAAAGTGTGTCCCATAGGCCTTATAACTTATTAGGGGCAGTGTGAATACAGCACACATAAAACTTGTGCTTTTTACTTGTATATCTGTACAAGTAGGCAGTGTGGCCAGCATTACACTCAACTGTCTTCACACCCCCAGCTGAGAAATGAGGTACAGGTATCCATTCAAAACTGGGTGAACTGTAGATGCCTTGAGCCAGCGAGCCTATGGACAGGAGGCAAGTGCTGCGTATCGTTACTATTAAAACTATTCCTAGAAATGAGAAGATATAAAGTAATGACTTTTTTTTTCAAAGTTCAATCCTCTTGCCTCAGGAAGCTCCCAGCCACCACCCTAGAGAGGAGCCTTACATGGAGTCCTCCCAAACATATTACCCACTTACTTATGCTTCTAATGTTCACTTTGAATGAAGGCATCAGTCTTATCATAATAAATGTTTGTCCTTTTAACACTAACTTATACTAAAATGAGCAGGTTAATGGCCTTACAGTACTATTAATATTCAGAGCTCTGTTACTGTACATCTCCAAGTTTCATGCACTCTTGAGGAATCACTGAAGAATTCTACTTGCTGGTTTGGCTCACATGAAGTATAAGCAGAGGCCACTTTCTTGCACTGGCAATCAATTTACGACAAACTCTAACTGCTCAAGGAACCTTCAATTTAGACAAACTTTGAAACAAAACTTCAAATTGTTTAACAAGATAATGAAGATTATTGTACGTACGTATACTGTATGTAAGTTCAACCTACCAATGTGACCAGCCATCCATGTAGCCCACTGTGTGATGACATATGAAACATCATTTGGACAGAGAAAAGCAATACGCTGTTGCACTGAGTCTTCACCAAGTACATTCTGCATCAGCCATGCCAAGTGACCACTGCCAAAGAGAAAAGATGATGGATCAGACAAAACTTATGTAATTCTTAATATTATTATTTATCCTCATAAAAACTGATTCTCTACTTGATAATTCATTCAGGAAAATAATTATCATAATTATATAAAATTAATCATGACACAGATTTTCCTTTTTTATTTACATTAATAAAATTCAAGCGATGGTATTGAAAGAAGAAGAGAATTAACACACAGTCCAACCTTAACTTATGAATGTGTCCATAAGTGTGTTCTCCGTGCTCATCAGTCAGGGCTACATTATCTTGGTACTGTAATGCTTTTCTAAACACTGGCAGTACAGATGTTCCTGATGTTGAAGATGTATATACCCAGTGTTTGGATATGTATTGCCATTGGGTAGAAAATGTCTGGGGGGAGCGAAAGAGCTGCACTCCTCTGGTAGCTATCCGCAACATTGCTGGTCTACCCTGGAAGGCCAGTATACATGAGATTTCACATATGAGAGATTGATCCTGAAATGCCTCTTTATAGTCCAGCATGGATTGGGTGACTCAAGTATAATAAAAATAGTCTCTGAGTTGAAACCCAAGGAGCCCAGGACCCCAGACATTTGGCCAATAGCCACTTCCCTGAAGGTCTGACTCAAGAGACATAAAACAAAAGAAGACCAATATTCCTGAGGTCAAGTGCCAGCATAAAGCAACACTTGGACTTGTTTAATCAAACTTGAGTTGTTCAAACCAGGCATCATGGTGTACTTTAATACTAATTATTCATGAAGTAAAAATATGATAAAAAACTTAATAATCGATATGGTTAGAGGTGTTCTACACAAGAAAATACAACATTTCCTAACAGTAATGGACATTAACAATGTAGCACTGTATAATTCTACATTTTTCTAAACACACTATGAGCTTAATGCAAGTGACATACTGCATTTGATGCTTCTTTTGCCCCCATTCTATATGCCTACCAAACAATACCAAACCTGAGACAAAGACTATGCCAAGTACATTCATGTAACCATCAAATATATGTGACATATTAAAACACACACACACCAACTCAGCTTCTAGTGTACACAGATAAAAAAAAAAAGTCTAAAACATAGTAAACAGAGTTCAGCTAAAGGTACAATACAAATGACTGAAACAGAGTCTCCATACTACTAGCAGCCAAATAATAAGATATTGTACTATACTGTGGTCAATCTCTAACCTAACCTAACCTTGCTTCCTGGGATTCTGATTTCTGAAAATGGTTAAGACCTTCCAACTCCCAGCCTTGTTGCTATACTGTAACATTAAAGGAATATACAATTTACTCGACAATACCATCCTACAATGTCTACACCTGCCATATTTCTACCTGATCACTGTCAAATGTATTAATTATATGAATTATTTACCATTTGTCTAGTACGGTGTATGTAGGTCACTGAACCCATTCAAGTGTCCCTTATAGGAAGTGTTGAGAATAAGATTAACACCAACACATATTGCCCACGACCTTACCGACCACTGTATCAACTATCACGTAAAATGCTGACAATATATAGTTAAGGAGACACAAGATATAGAAGCCAAAAAAGATTTACTCACCCACAGGTTATCTCATAGTGGCAGCCAAGTTTACATTGATCAGCTGTTAACTTAGCAACAGTAGTCTATTCAATTCTTTTTCTCTTTGACTTTTTCCTCATTAAAAATTAAATAATATAAATGGATAGACATAACAAGTAACCAATTGTAGTATTTCGAGATATATCTTTGGGTATTTTGGGTGCTGAAGATAAATTTTCTCTCAGTGTGTGTTACATAACGTGCTCGCCATTACCATCACAGAGGTTGTATGTAGGTAAGAGAAAAGACTCACCTCCTACACCTCCACTGGGGCTAAATAGAGAGAATAACATTAAATACAAGTTAAATAAAAAAATACGAAGCTGATAGGTGATGAAACGATAAATAAATAAAACCATAGCTGTCTAAAAACACAAAATTGTTTGCATGGATAAATTATATTAAATTAACGAAATAAACTCTTAAAATGTAAGTTCTGGAAAATGAAACAATGATTATGAACTTTAGTCTAATAAATAAGAAAGGTTATCGAGGGGTAATTCTTCCGGCGGCTGTATCATCAGTACATTAATAATCCTTAAACATGGCATAAATACTACAATACCCGGAGCACTATATCTTAGTTTTCCATAAATTTTATTGTCTCCCTCTCAGGTTAGTTTTCATTGATGGCCTCAACACACACTGGTCCTCCTCCCCGTGGTGCAGTAAGCGACCACAACTGAGGCCGAGGCAGGGCAGCCACATGTTACTCACCAAATAGAACACATTAATATATTGCAAAAATGCGCATTGAGAGGTGTTATTTCTGCTCCAGCAAAGTCTACCCAGGCCACGGGATTCAATTTGTGAGGAATGATTCGAAGGTTAGTGACTATAAAATATTTATACAGTATGTACAGGTAGTGTAGGGAGCCTCATGGCCGTCGTGACCAGAACAACATGTACAGGAGAGGAAGCTATATATATTTTATTTTAGAGTGATACTAACACTGCAACAAACAAATAAAGTAGCTTCAAACACAGGTTGGATGGATATATGAGCAATATGGGTTGGGGGTGAACGGGACTGCCCAGTATGGACCAACAGGTTTGCTGTAGTTTTCTCCATTCTTATGTTCTAATGTTACTTTATACGTTTATTCTATTGCATTTTTGGCAGAATTGTTTTAGTTTTTAAGTTAATTGGGATTCGCCTTATGCCCAGCCGTGAATTGTTACTTAAATAATGTCTGCTTATTGTTTCATTGAGATTTGAATGAATGACCTTTATTTTTAGGGTTTATATATATATATATATATATATATATATATATATATATATATATATATATATATATATATATATATATATATATATATATATATATATAATTTATATTTATACAGTATATATGAACATGATTTGCACATAGTGGGCATGACTTTGAAGAGGGAATATGTTGGGTAAATTTAACTTTAATGACAACACGGCAATCTTAGGAATTTTATCTGTATTTCATTTGTTGCTGCTAAGCGAATCTCTGGAATTTTATCTTTGCAATCAATAGTTTAGACAATTCTAAGATACTTTTCTTCTATAATGTTTCCCTTGCAAATGACCGAACCTAACGTCCTGTAGTAGTGTACAGTGCTCTTAGTTTTAAAAACAAACAAACATGAACTTGGTATAGTATTACAGACAGGTTACATATATCCGGTGGCAAATTATACATTTCATATTACTTTCAGATCTTCAAATTTTGCCGCCCAAGATGCCACAAGAATTTCAAGAGGAAGCGAAACCCACGCTCAGTCCGCTGGACAAAATCCTTCAGGAAGGCAGCAGGCAAAGAGCTGACTGTGGACCCTTCCTTTGAGTTTGAGAAGAAGAGAAACATACCTGTAAAATATAACAGAGAATTGTGGCAAAAGACAGGTGGGTACCAGCAATATTTTTGTGACATATACAGTATAGTACAGTGCTCCAGTTTAGTAAAGTTCAGTACAGTGCAGTATAGTACAGTACAGTGCAGTATAGTATAGTATAGTACAGTGCAGTAAAGTACAGTGCAGTAGAGTACAGTACAGTACAGTACAGTATAGTACAGTGCAGTATAGTATAGTACAGTGCAGTAAAGTACAGTGCAGTAAAGTACAGTTCAGTACAGTAAAGTATAGTACAGTACAGTATAGTACAGTATAGTCTGGATTTACGCGGATTTTGTTTACGTGTTTGGTCATTTACGCGGCACCTTGCCAGAATGAAATGTTTTAATTACGCGGTAAATTTCATCATTTACGCGGGAAGCGGCGCGGGTAGGGTGCGCACAAGGTTGCCCAGTCATCAAAACATTCCCGAGTTCTTCACCCGCCACCCACCACAGCCGGCCCAAGTCAGTGATAGTGAGGATATGGACTTTGAGGGGTTTGACAAAGAGGCCCTGCAAGCCTCTGTGGTGGATAGTGATACAATTGATACAAGTGATACAGGTAAGGGCCAATAATCTGCCCTCTGCCTCGGAACCAACCCCCCATCCCCGTGTGCCCAGCCATCTTTTCTACTCACGCAAGTGTTAAAAACCTAATATTATTGATATTTCTCTTAAATATTAATTGTGTGTGCATACCATCATAAAATTAAGATGTTATTTTGACTACAACGTAGGTATTGTGTCTGAAAAAGTGGAATTTGGTGGTCGGCCCAGTCTCTATTTCAATTAATCCCATATATTCTCTTATTTCGTTTACGCGTTTCTCGTTTTATGCGGACCTCAACGGGTTCAATTGACCGCGTAAATGCAGGCTATACTGTACAGTGTAGTATAGTACAGTGTGGTAGAGTATAGTCGGGTGCAGTATAGTACAGTTCAGTATAGTATAGTACAGTTCAGTACAGTGTAGTATAGTACAGTTCAGTAGACACTCAATATAATGCAAGAATGGAACTGAGAATTGTCTTCGTACTGTCAGACAGGTTTCCCTCATTTAACCTTAATTCACTTAACGTTATTTCGGTTTAGCGATAAAATAATTTTGATGGCATTTATCTCTTAACGTTAAGTAAAAATTTGGTTTTAGCGATAGCTTGAGGGTGGGAAGGGAGAATAACTGGGGATGAGGTGGCCAGTGAGATGTCATGTTGCTATTGTTACAAGTAATGAAGCTAAAACAGTCATGTTGCTATTGTTATAAGTAATGAAGCTAAAACAGTAGTGGAAAAATTATTACAATATTGTACTGTACTCTATTGTGGTCTAGAAATATAAAAATAATTTAAAACTATAAAATAAGAAAATGAAGAGCATGGGTGTTGTTGCCTTTGATGTGATGTCCTGGTATACACACAGCACAGCACAGCAGTAGCCATACGTCTGAGTCAGTTGGGCGACTGCCTGGTTGAATTGTGTTGTGTCGTCCAGAGGAAGGTTTTAGTGTGGAACTATTTTTTGTACAAAAAATAAGTGCTATTGTGTTTTATGATAGACCCCGTTGTGCGTGTTATTCAAACTTATGTTTCTAGCTGATTTTAGAGGAATATTAATTTTTATTATTTCATTTTTATGCCGGTTAGTTGAATCTGGTGGTTACCCAGACTCCAGATAACTGGGGTTATACTGTATTAATAATATTCTGATAAGCATAGCTACATAATTGATCATAATCAGAACATGCTTTATCTTGTCAAGGGTAGAACTATTATATAAAATTATGGAGGACTTTTTATCTGGTGGGAGAATAATGTCTGGGTTCATTAAAATGAGTGCAGTGTGAAATATATCCATGTTTACCTGATAAATATGTTCATCTGTCAACAGTGGAAGTAATGAAGAAGGTGGCAAAGATCAAAACAAAGCGTGAGGGCAAGTTTGTGATGGACCGCCTCCTGAAGAGTGTAGAAATCCAACGTGTTGCTGACATTGTTGAGGTCAAGAAGGGTATGAGCCTTATCCGATCTCCCGCTGCAGGCCTTAGGGTAAGTTTTATGAACTTGCTATTTCCAGATATAGATCTAACCTTCTTCACTTATTTCTGTACACCCACCCAAGATCACTAACAGGTGAAGGTGTACAGTACATGTGGTCAAGGAATTTTACTTTGATTCCTCCAGTGTGATGTAACAACTAATTATATGAATAAATAATTATGTGACTCTACAGTTATTCATGAAACTAAGAATCTTATATTTCCGATACTGTATACAAATACATTACAGGACTTCAACCATACATTCAGGGAAAGATTATTAATTGCTTTTTTGTGTGACAAAGAGTTACTGTGTTTTCAATAGTATTATGTTTCTTGATTAGTAAGTTGTGGGTTTAGGTTAGTGACACATTCCTGGAAAAACACACGAGGTGAAGCAATGTGAATTAACCCAAATTTTATCATTATTTAAAGACAAAAATATATATTTTCAGGTAGATCCTCACTCAGACTTAACAAAAACTGTGAAGATGTATTGGTAGGCATAAAACTTTCCTTGTAGAGATATAGACTAATGAAATTCTTAATTTTATATTTGTCTCTATTAAATATTTTCTTTACTCAGAGAGGAAACAAAGTGATAGATGAAGAAGAGATGGAAATGGAGGATGATGAGGTGGCAAAAAGGCTGGAAGCAGGACCTTCTAAAGTCACAAAGGAGACCAAGAAAAAGATTGCAACAGAGGAACAGATGTCAGAAGATGATGATAAGATTGAAGAGGAGGATGATGATGACAGTGAAGAGGGTGGTGATGATGATGATGACAGTGATAATGTAGAAGAGGGTGGTGATGATGATGATGGCAGTGATAATGTAGAAGAGGATGACAATGAAGGTGAAGATGAAAACAATCTTGAAGAGAGTGATGATGAGTAATGGATGCATAACAAAGTGTACACAGATTAGTTTTGTACAAGGTGTTATGAATGAATTTATCTGGATTGAATTAAAGTGCACTTGTATGTTGTTCTATTATATTTTGTTGAAGCTGTTGGATATGTTCACCTCATGGATGGCACTGTGCCTCTAATCCCTGAAATTTTGGCAGGAGAAATAAACTTGTTGTAAGTGGCACTAATCCAAGCCAACAAAACTTAGACTCTGCAGCCAGGTAAGGTGGGAGGCATGTTACAGTCTTGTGTACAAAGACAGTCATTCTTTTGTCATGTCAAGCCAATAGACTACGGTAACCTTGTGTGCATGGAAGTTGCAGCCTTTTAAAACTGTAGGAGCCTACTTAACTTGTATCTATCTGTTAAGAGAGACTACAGGAAAAGTTAAGACTGCAATCGGTGTCAGTTCAACACTTTAGTGCAGAATAAATGATGATTTATGAAGACAAACTTTTCTTAAGTACCTAAGAAATGTTGTCGTGGATGTTGTCAGCTCTACAGAAGAAGAATATATATAATTCCAGCAATACCACTAATGTGATTATGCCACATAGAAGCATGTTGTGTAAATGTATGTACAGTTGCCCTAAAGAGTTCCTTTACCTGTGGTGACGTACATGTGGCAGCGTTGCAATACTAAACTTGTAACAATGGAGCTGATTGGTGGGAAAGATTCATAGATGTAATTTTGGTTAACAATAATGATAAATAGATATACAGTATAAATATAATATAAACAATATAATTAAATACACAAATGCTTCTTATAAGGAAGAATACCAATATGAGTGATTAGACTTTAAAAATAAAACATGAGGAAATTTGTGTAATTCATGATTATCATACACCAAGAATGTTCACACATGGACACTGGCACCGCTACATATGTCCTTGGTAAATCACAATAGTTAAAAGGTTTGTAACCCTCAGGAATCATACTATGTGGAGGTCTATACGTGCATTGTTTTTTAATATTTTATTTTATTTTATTGTTAGTTTTCCATTACAACTTTATCTACTAGAGGACATTATCCAAATTTATCTTCAAAATAATATTGATAACTGTCAGTCATAATGGCACTGACCTCAAGGTATTATGTTGTGATCTATATACTGTACTGTAGTACTAAACTTCACCAGTTATCATGATACATAAAGGTGTGCTACTACTGTTGACCATCACAGGCTGTACCTCACTATAATACTGTATTTACTAAAGGTGTATTACATACTGTACTGTATATATCACAGTAATTCCTATATTTACCTTGGATTTCAAGTTATGTTTGTATGTGTGTGTATGTATGTTTATCAGAGTGATGTATCAAGTATACGTGTGTAGGGGCGTGCACCTCTGAATAACTGTTGTCTGTCTGCCCAGTTTTCCAAAAACATAATATGGAGCGGGTACAACACTCACTTCTTGTCCTAAGGGTCACTGGTTCACGACCGGGGCTCACTCAGCCGTGAATGGGTACCTAACTTTACAGTTGGGGAAGCGAAAGGCGGATGAGGGCAGTGCCGACCATACTGCCCCCTTACTGTATGTAGTGAAGGCCCAAACATACAATGTGTTTAATCCACAATGTCCATAACAGGTTGGTTGGGCTATGGGATCCACCTTAACATACACCTATATACAGTTGACCTTTCATCAATTTTCTGCTCCATGAAACACAACGACGTGGAGGAGACAATGCGAGGTCACTGATGGTCATTACAGTAGGGTATACTTTACTGTTACGACCACCGTCCAAAATTAACATTTCTCAGCTGATCATTTATTCAGTTAATTAAAAAATATGATAATAAAGTATTTAAGTCAGTTTTATCCATGGCATTCCATTACCTACAAACTGAGCTGATGACACCTGAGAGTTATTTAGTTATGCAGTACATATATGTTGAGTTATGTTACTTATTTATACATTCATGCCAACACCTGACACCTGCTGCTATCTTACCACCATGGCATCTACCACCACCCTGCCACAGCTACAAGTAAAACAAAAAGTGTCACACCAACATGACTCGGGAATAAAGGCAGCTACCTTTTACGCTACTCTTACCTCGGTATTGTAGTCCGCCAGCTCGGGGTGAGGCGGCAGGAAGACCTATTACAACTCGGCCCCGCCCACCAACTGTTATTTCCAAATTCTAAGTACAGTACACACCACTACCATCACCACCAAACAACCTCTGAATATATGTTTGTCTAAATTAATTTATATGCGACATTTTAAACTCTATAAATTATCAAGAGAATGTATTTTGTGAGTGTTATACCTCATGGAAACGCTTTTAATAGTAATAGTCACCTTGGGGGTGCAAAAAATCTGGCCCACACCCCACCCTCCTGCCCGTGGTAACCTCGCCTCCCACACGTCACAATAGAGAACAAGTAGAGGCAATTTTCGGAAGGTCATGTTGTTCTTTTCTACTCCTGAGCAGTTTAGAGGACACCGTGACTCTTTGAGGACGAATCAAACGTTATTTAACCACATTCAGCCTCATACAATGTATATACTGTACTGTACATATATTGTAATTATTTATCATTACAGGGGGTAAGTGAAAATCAAAGATAGTTTTATATCATCCTTTATATACGGTAATTAAGACAACTCATATAGGATGGTAGAACGGTCAACAAGCAAAATGTTTAAAAGGAAATACTGATATCGAGGAAGTGGGAGGTTACAACACAACACTTCCCGGGAGGACAAGGCACCGCCCCTCGCGCCATGTTATTAATATGAAGCCAGCACTGAAGGTGTTGGCTAACTGCCAGTGACGATAAATAACTGATGTATACCAGTATGGACAAATTCATCTATTTGTTCCTTAACAGCGTGCATTATAAAAAGAAGCACTCACGAACCCTGAACTGACAAGTGATGCCAAACCTTCAAAATCCCTGGAGTTATCGAAGCCGTTGATCTAATTTATGAACCTTATTTTTCTTAATTTATAGTACTTGTATTAATTAGGACTATTATTGTCCACATACCAGAAGCTACAAAAATTCAGCTGAACTTGGAAGATGTGTGAGCTGTAATGCATAGAGGAATTACTCACTAATATCTCCCAAAGAAAAGAATATCAGTCGCTCTTTTTAAATCCAACCTAATCTATCGTCACATATGTATGATCACTGAATTATTTTCTTTATTTAACTTTACCATGTTAGGTCTGGTGGCCAGTCACGATTATAAGAGATCGATAAATAAAAAGACGTGACCGAAGAGTGAACATGACGTCATCAACAGGCTATCCGCTCCAACAACAGATTTCCGTTATTTTCATTAATAATAATAATAATATAAATAAAAGTTGAAAGACATGACCTTGCTCTAACTCGTGGGTGTGTTTGTCATTCGCCATTCACTGCGGGTATACAGTATGTGTAGATAAGAGTGGCCGTGACACCGTGGGCTTGTGTCTGCAAGAACCAGACCGGAACACTCCTTCTGGGGCCTGTGGCGGCATCTTCACTGGCTATTTCTTCATGGAGAGAGAGAGGGGGGAGAGAAATAGAGGAAGGCGGGAGGGAGGGGGGGGGAGAAGAAGGGGGAGAGAAGGGAAAGATGGAAAGGAGGGAGAGAGGCTGGTGTTAATGGCATGGTAAATACGTCACCGACTGCAATACCACGTCCCCTGGCACCCACTACAGAACCCGACCTTCAGTAACACTTGACGTCTCCTTCAGTGCTGTAAACGCCCCAACACCTGACGCAGAAGACGACACATAAGGGAGACTTTTTATACTGCCTTTGGTACACTGTTAACCTCCATACTCGGGGAAGATAACAGTGTGTTCCTCAGTGTTGACTTCTGACGGGGACAGTGTGGGAGAATGTCAAGCCAACAACATATACTTATCATCAACAAGTATATCGAACACTAGCCTAACCTAACCTAACCTAAACCTAACCCAAACTAACGTAACCTTAACTAATTTAACCTAAAGTAAACTAACCTAACTCAGGTAGCGTTAAGTGATTAGTGTACAGGTAAAATTATAACAATTACCCCCAGTCTTCCTTACATATTCTGTACATAAATTAAAATATTTATAAAGTTTATAAAATATAGTGCCGAAAAATATGCAAATCTTGGCACAGATGGGAGAGGAAAGGAAGTGAAAGTTGTCTTCTTAATAATTGGTGACTATATTCGTGCATCAAGGACCTGAGGGGTAATAATAACAGGTATAATGCATCTTATTCATCACTATAAAACACGACATTCAGCTCACAAACGTCTGCATAAAACACAAAACTCTTCTTGGATGTTTCTTCTTCAGAACGTTAAATAGCTCAACTTTCTCTTCTTCAGAACGTTAAATAGCTCAACTTTCTCTCCTAATTGAGAATAAATAACAAGAAATGAAAGCTAAGAACACCTGGACTCAGTTACCAAGACGAGGAGAAGAATTAGTGGTTCTTCAAGGGGTAAATTATATCACCAACACCAGTGAGAGGAAACACTGCGAGTCTCAGCATGCAGCCTTGAGGTACACCACACAGCGACACACACACACACACACACACTACTACATATTTATCACCATCACACTGGTACTTATTACTGTGTCTTAGTGTGATGATGGTGTTAGTGGTGCCGTGAATCTCAGTTTTCACCTCCTGAATGGCACACCTGTACACTGTAAATAATACCTTTTTTTGTACTACCTAACTTCATCTCATCTTCATATCGTCTCATTGGCGACACTATCCTCTCTCTCAGATCACGTTCTTCTGGTGACTACATGAGAACTACTGTACGACTCAGCTCAACACCGTGTCCCAGTAACTCAATGGTGTCACAATAACAAGAACAAATTATAATACAAAGCAAAATCTAGGTAAATTGTTGTTAATATTCCAATCATTATTATTATTATTATTATTATTATTATTATTATTATTATTGTTGTTGTTGTTGTTGTTGTTATTATTATTATTATTATATAAATTATAAGGAAACCGTATGCATGGATTTTACTAATGGCTTAAATCGTTATTCTATTTATTAATATGCCCCATACAAACTGCCACCATTACCACAATTCACATCACAGTCACTACCACCATCCATCACTAGTACTACCACTATTACTAGCACTTTTTCTACAAATATCATCAACCACGGCTACCACTACCACAACCACCCATTCCTCAATTATACAGTACAGTATACAGTCAGTTCCAAGTTGATTATAAATGCAGCAGTGTTTTAGTGCCGGGTAATACTTCAACAAGACATATCACTGTACCTAGCTGCTCGAGTCAGAAAAATGGTATTAACTCTGTTGGATCTGTCGGCGAGGATGAGGTGTTCCCGCTCCTTGAAGAACCTTGCCCGTGTTGGTATAGTGTGGTTCTGTTTACAGGTGGGGGTGATGTAGAACTGCTTCAATAGTTACGATAAAGGTTTACAAG